TATAGCTATTCAGTACTGAAAACAGACGGCACCCATTACCTCTCCATAAAGCCAGTTATTAAGTCTCTGAAAGCTAGACTTGACAGAAGTAAGGAAAACTTTACTGTGAATGGGAAGAAACTGTGAATGGAAAGAAAATGAGGCACTTAAAAAAAGTCTTTACTATACCAGAACTCTGTTTTCCAGAAACTTTGAGGGCAAGGGGGGTGGGAGGGGTGGGGGAAAAAAGTCTTTAGCCTGAGATAAACAACCCTGACTGATGCGTCTTTTTGCTTCTGTCTCCTTTTGTCTCCTGACCTACTATGCAATGCAGAGGCTGGAAAGATCCATACGGCTGCAGGCTGTCCCATGAAACTACCTCAGCAAGCCCAACTTGAAAAGTTTACACCGATGTAACTTTGACCTGCTGGAAACCCTTAGCTTAGGCATTAAAAAAAAAAACCCTTTGATTTCATGTAAACCGTGTCTCTGGGATGCAAACGTCATGCAGATTTTGTAACACGCAGAGCACACAATACAATCATATGACAGTATTCGACCGACCACTCATATCCTAAACCAAAAAGCCAACTACTATACTATATTCATATGCCTATCTTAGATCGGAACTGTTTGCTTAGTTATAACCTAATCAATCCATATACCTTTAAAGAAATCCTACTTCCTCAAAATAAGCTGTCGGATAAATGGCACAATTTCAAAAGCAAAGGAAAACTGGAAACAGTACATCTGGCCACTAACTAGGGAAGGGTCACGGGCTGTGGGAAATTGGTAGAAGCCAGGCTACCAGGAACAGAGAGTGACGGGCAAACTTTCCTTCCTTTAAATTATTATAGCTACAGTGCTACTGAATTGTGGGATGCAGTTTCCTTTCAGTATTTCCACACATTTTCAAAACAGCTCAGGAATTATATATGTAATAATTACTAATTTACAGGGGGAAAAAACATAAATCCTTGAACTGTAGTTAAAAATTAAGATTAGCAAAATCTCAGAAAAAATACTTTTCGTCTGTAAAATAAAAAGCATTCCTTTAAGTCTATCAGTAAATAAGAAACTGCCACCCTTGTCAGCCTCTGATCTTGTACTATCTAAAACTAAGCAGCCTCCCAAAAGATGTTATGAAAACCACACCATATCAATATTACTTTCTAGCACAGTCACACACCGAGTTTTCTTTAACAACATCATCCCAATCCATGATACACACTAAAACTGTACGTGAACTTGAAGTATTTAACAATTACAAAATTCCCTAATATTCCACGGTTATATTTACATAAACTTCTAACATTTTTGAGTACTTACGACAGAAGTCGGTCAAGTTTTGGTCCATTACGTCCCTGAAGGACGCCAGGCGGCTTGTATACCTTCATTATTCCTTACAATCTATACGCTTTCTCTGTTTCTGGTGTTCTTGGTCTCTTCATTTATGAAGCAGTGATGATTTTGAAGTTATTTATAAACATTAACTCATTAAATTCCCAAGTGTCACATTAGATACCAACTCTGTGACTCATATTCCTGACAATATATTTATCATGGTTGGAAGAGAAGGTAAATTTACATACACGAGTAGCACACAGAGGCATGCCATGAACTAATCTTATATTTTAAAACGGTATTTGACATTAAGTAACTCTGAAGTTATTAACAAATATGTATGTCAACTGAAGTTGGCTCATTATCAAAAATCAGTGGAATTTATAAACACTGCCTGACTACCACTCTGACAAAATGAAAAATAACCCATAACAAAAAATCCCTTCATTTTTGAGGATTGGAAATGGAAGCTGAAGTGTTTTAAAGCTTGTTATTACTGTACTTAAATGAGTGCAAGTTAAGGAAAATTACAGTTATCTTCAAGTACTCCCTGACAGGGAAAGCATACACCATGTGTTAAGGTTTCTTAAAAGAAAGTAACAAAGTTATCAGTTCACCAGACAAAATTATTTCATTGATTACCTTATGTGTAATCTCGGCCTCATAAAAACCTCAGTGTTTTAGATCGCACATCTGGTCCGAGTGGCTTTACAGATTGTCATCACTGCACAGTAAACAATGCAAATATTCAAGTAACAAGCTCAGCAGCAAAATAAACAAAAAAAATAGGACTTTTACTCAAAATGTAAGGCATCTAAATCCTTTCTAAAACACAGAAAAATCTTTGAACCAAAATAATACACTTTTGTTGGCAATGATCTAATTTAATTCTTCAGTTCCCAATTTCCTCAAGATTCTTGAACATCAGTTATAAAAGCAAAGGAAAACATCAGATCAGTTGAAGAGCTCTCTTTAATATGCCATTCTTCACCAGTCACTCCTTTCGCAAAACATTTCTGAGAAAATGTTTCTATTTGTGCCTAGGAAAACCCTGAAGCTACAAGCCACATAATTTAACTTTGAAATTAGTACTGCTTTGAGCAGAGGGTTGGACTAGATGACCTCCACAGCGTGCCTTTTTCAACTGTAATTTTTATGTAAGCAGATTTTTTTTTTTTTCCTCAGGCTTAGAATAATTTTTAAAAATATTTTCCTGAACTTCTTTAACATGGGCGGTGGTCAAACACTACTGAATCCAGGTACACTAAAGGGGAGGGATAAGAGACCAGCACTTACAGGCATTATCAAGCCACAGCTTAAACAAAACCCCCACCCCACAGACATATTTCACGAGCAATAGACTTAGCAAAGCCTGCCTTTCTACTGATCCATCACAAATCCCGTGCTCCTGCCTACACAGTAACATTTATTCCCTTCTCATGCATTCCCCGTAGTCTTACTGCTCCCCACAGAATTCAATTCTGCCCACACTGCCTTTACCCTTTACTGAGCCTGGAAATGTCACTTGTAGATATGTTAGAAGTAATATATATCTAAACCTTTTTCTCCCAACTATTTACTACTCTCTACATTATGGTAGTAAGACTATTGTTATTACAATCTGAAAGCTGAAAGACAATTGCCACAGAAGAGAAGTTCTAGCTTACAGTTAATTGAACTGTATTATAACTGTACCATTACAGTAGTAAAGAGACAGGAGAAGCATTTGTGAAATGTTTTAACAAAATTACATGTTGTTCTTAGGCTTAATGACACAACAGCAATAGTCTTTCCACAGACAATCTGGCTAGCAACATGAGTAAACACTCATTCCAATTCTCTGTCCTTTTTTAGGGGAAAAACAAATCAAAACCAGGACCAAACTTCAAAGGGGACATTATATTAGATGAAAACAAGTAGAGCACACTGGTCAAATGAGAAAGTGAAGCCATAAGAATGCCACCTGATAATATGTCCTTTACACACAAAAATTTTCAAGGGAGAGTTGCACAGCTCTTAACATGGGGCAGCACTTTTTTCTGAAGAGACATCTACCTACAATGCTCTCTGAAAAGTACTTCAGCATTATAAATTTCAATTAATACAGCCTTCTAAAAGAACAGACGGGAAATAAAAATATTAAAAGCCATTACTGTAGAACAGAAAAAAATATCAAAAGAAAAGAGCTTTTTAAAAGTCTGTCAAAAGAAGTGACATGAAAGACCTTTATCATGACAGCAGACTTGCACGTAAACACATCAAACAGACAGATTTGTAATGAGCTTCTTGCTATTTGTTTCTAAACAAGGAGACTTTACGATAAAGCGATCCCTGCTCAGATTTAAGAGCATACCGCAGAAAAAAGATGAACAAGTATGACCAATTTTGATGTCAAAACTTTGTTCAACACGTATAGCTAGTTTATCGAATCTGTAATATGAATTATTCCCAAATTAGCGATCTGGTTCTGCTCACTTTTGCATAAACAAATGAAATGCAAAAGATCAAAATAGAAAAAACTTCAACACCAATTAGACCCAACATGTTAAAATATTTTTCCAGTTACCACTGAAAGCTATTAAGTGCATTTACACCATCAATCTGGACCACTTCCTATTTATTCAAGGACCCTGTTCCCTGCATCTGTACTGCATGTGACCTAAATTGCTCCCAGCATCCCTTCTGGAAGGGAGCAGCTAATCTCCTGGGAGTATTTTGATGGTAAAATAATCCAGGATTGCACCACAGGCCGTATGCTTGAGACATCCCAAGGTCTTGCTGTTTTCACTTAACCCAGTCTGATAGCACTATCCTAGAAGACTTTACCATTTCATATACCCATATCCCAGACACTCAACCTACAGCATCAACCCATATTGACACACAACAAAAGCAGGAACATGGCAACTAGAAACTTTGTTCCCAGAACTTGCGCACATGATCGATATGTAGCAATTATTAAAGGGAACTGAAAAAAACACATATTCTAAAAAAGCTATGGGTCTGAAAAGTATCCCACAGGGCATGGGACAGGGTACAGTGGCTTCTCGTTGAAGGGAACAGCTTAGCTTGGAGGAGTGCCGACTAGTCAGGGGAACAGGGGCAGCACAGATATAACCACTATTGCTACAGCTGAAAATTAAACTACTAAAGGTTCCATAAATTTATACGCTGAAAGCAGAAAATGACAGTTTCTTTGCTAAAGAGCTAATACAGTATAAAGGAAAACAAGCTTTCCAATACAATATTTTGATCTAGCGAATCCACACTTGGGAAGAAAAATTGTCATTCTCCACGATGACTTAATTCTCTACTTCTAAAGGTTAAAACTTCCTTCCTTGCTTGCTGCTTTCTTCTTTGTAAGTGTGTGTCAAAAACTGAAGACAACAGTCACTGGAAAATTAATTAGTCTGGTTGAAAATGACAGCAGTGAAGTCTTCCAAAGATTCCCATGTGATCTTCAGCTCTTTCATGACACGCCAATAAAAATTGTATTGTTTGAACGGGTGGAGATCACGAACAAGGGATCTAGCTACGAAGTTTTTACACAGGAAAGCTGCACTACTGAAAACTGCAGGCATACAAATGCTGCTAAGTCCTTGATATTTAATTTCTCATCATTAGTGAGGAGTTACTACGTTCTTTAATTGAACAGCTGTTCACTTATAATACTGTACCTTCTCTGGATTTCCAATTCTTCTTGTGATGGACCATTTTGTACTTGAGAGGGAAGCTGTGAATTCTGTCGAGGCAATGTAGGACCTAAAAGCAAAGACAGACCAGAAATTAATGATTTGAACTTTTACTCTGCAAAAAAGCACAAACTCAAGGAAAAAGGCCAGCCATCACATGACATTATAGGAACTGTTTACTTCTGCTTTTTAAGCCAAACAAGCTCAACAACATAATACAGCAAATAAAAATTGCAACAAATGTTACCTTACATATTTGCAGAATGGATTTATTTCACATGGATGAAAAGGTTTCACGGAATTGCAAAATAAATTTTGTATATGATGGAACTTGACAAAAGCTTTGAAAAGCACTCCAAGTCTGAGATTTTCTTAAAACAATGAACAAATACTCTTGTAAGAACCAAAAAGGCTCAAAAAAATTAAAACACTCACCTAAATAGAACACTGGAAATGGGGGAGGGGGGGGCGGGGAGAATAGGAGAAAAAAAACATCAGAAGCTTATCACCGTTAAAGCATGTTTCTACAAGTCACACCAAAATTTACTCAGATTTTAGCTCGTAAACTTGGATCAAAGACCTTCCTTTGTGGATAGGTAAGTATTGTGTCTAAAGGAACAAACTGTGCATTCTGCTAAGCGTAAGAAATGCAAAAGAGAAGGACATGCAAATTCATCTTCGACTTTTACTGATGGGCAATTCTGAATCATACGTCTTTCAGTTATTATATATGCTCATACGTCTTTCAGTTATTATATATGCTCAATCTGTCTTCTAAAAACAAAGAGGCTTTTCCACATTCCTCACAAATGTATTTACAGCACAAAAGTTATTTAAAAAGAATTAACAGAAGTGAAGGATGAAGAAATGTAGAATGGAATACCGTAGATCATTAATGCATTGTTACTGTAAAATTGGGCAGTAAACGAGGAAATTATTTAGACCATAGCTACACTTAAGATTATGGAATTTATAAGCAAGCAGAATTAAAAACAATAAAATCGTATCCAGTTCTGAAGAGGTCCCAAAGCAAAACAGTAATTTCTTGCTGATATTCCACCAAACTAGTTAGAGCGATGGAGTTGTAATAAGATCTCCCCCATCTCAAATATCAAAATGTAAAAGTTGTTTGCCATCTGAACTTGTGAAGGTCATCCAAAAACATGAAGAGACCATGTGTGATATATTGAGACATCAAGGACAGGTGATCTGCCTCAGACTCAGCAAACGAGTGCCCTGTTTAAAGGCTATACAAAAAGGTTCATTTACTCAAAACAGCACTGTGGTCACAAATCCTGAGAATTATAATAGCGTATACTAGCTACTGTACCCTACAGTTAAAAAGTAATGCAAGAACTTACTTCTAGAAGATAAAAGCACAAAGTGTATTACAAGGCTTGTGTCTTCCTTATTTATTCTTTTCAGCAAGCGTTAGGTCCTCATACCTAAGTACATGATGTTGCCCCGGATGTACTATTTTTGCCTGGAGTATCTCCAAGAGATACCCAGAGATATAAATCTATATTATTTTTAATGCAAAAGATTTAACTGCAATGATAATTCATTATTAAGTTATCAGTAAGTAGAAACATCTGTCATATTGCTCATCTGGAAAACTTTTCTGCTTTAAAACTTCCGAAGTCGCACCTCCTCCCCTATCATCTCCCCTGCGTGACAGGTGGTAGGTAGACTTTTATGCCCATTAAGCCATGATCGCAGCTCCCAAGCAGCCAGGGAAGCAGCCGAGCTGTTTGCCGTCTGCACCATGCTGCAGCCTTTCATGGACTTTTAGAAGCAGACACAATCCGGCAGCAGCTGTGTTGCTGCTTAAAGATGCTATATACCACTACCGCTTGCCACGTCCAATACACTCCCTTCCCTCAGATCTGCTGTTTCTCAGCATGAAACACATTGACCTTAAAAATTAAAAACAAAGAACAAAAAGAAAAAGAAGCAGTCATATTACAGCCATTTACCAACTGGAACTGTTTTGTACTGAGAATACAGTAGAAATGAAAACTTCAAACTTCCATCCCTTTAATCTTTAAGAGTATTTAACAGGTTTTTTGAACAAGGTATTATCGTGCTGCAGTAGTTGAGTTTGGACTGCCACCCTACAACCTTTCTGCCAGTGTTCCCCCAACTCCTTCTTTGGCTAGCACCACTGGAAACCAAGCACCCAGCTTCGCTTGCACTGGCTATTCAAACCAGCCTTAGCTATCAGAAAACCTGTACTCAAACTTTGTTCTAGAGCACAATCCGTCAGAAAATCACATTCTCTGTAAATTCTGCTGAACGCAACCATCAGCAAGCCAAGCTACCGTATCCTGGCCAACCTACTCCAGTAAATTACATGTTTCTTTCATAGCTATACATGTAAAAGAGCCGAAAACAACCACCCGCTAACAGTTAACATGGTTGTTCTAGTATTTCTTATACATTTTTTGCCATAGGAAAACGCAACCTGAGTATACCAAAGGCTTTCAAGAAAGAAAAGTTCAGCTACCAAGTCATTTGGCCTTTTCTCTGACAAATTCCTCTCTGCAAGCATAGACCCTTAATAACCACCATGCTAATGGACACTGGCAAGTTAAAGGTACACACCAGGTGGAAAAGTGTGTTTTATCCTGTAAAATGAAGTTATGACAGCAAGCCAAGACCACCACTTCATAGCTGAAATACAACTGTCTGGATAGTGGGACAGATGGAATAATAAATAAATAAGCAGGAGCTAGCTAATAAAAAGCGCTCTCAGAGGCTTTTGAACACTTCAAGATACTTCGGAAACGTCAGCCCCCCAGAGAAATATTCACAGATACTGCCTGGAAAAAATCCTCTGATCCTTCTACAGGATCACTTTATCTTCAGAGACTGGTACAAGCCAAGTAAGAGACAAGGCTGAATGGTCTATTCATTCTGTGTTTTAAGGAAAACCTAACATCTTTCTCTTTCTAAAGAAAGCACAGATGGTGCACTCTGCAGTGCACCCTGAGAGACAGAGGATATAATTTCATACTAATTTGTTCAACAGTCATTCCAGTTTAAATGCTTTCTGTTTTTCAGCTGCTTCTCACCTTTGGTTCACTCTTCCTCTATGACCGTTCAGGCAACTATGTAGTGAGAGATGGACTGGAAAGCCAATGCATTAAAAATCCCAGGGGGAAAAAGCCTGCAAGAACGGTTTTCACCAGCTAGGTCAGGGCCGGTTCTGGTTCTTCACACAGCTGCGCAGACAACTATGCTGGCATAGCTCAGAGAACGACGTCAGACTGCTGGGGCCTGCTTGAGCCAAATTACACATCCCCAACATCACCTTTTTAAACCACAACCAGAGTTATAGTTTGTCAAACTCCTTAACTTCATTTTCACCTCCAACTGACTTCTTACCTCTGTATCTCCATTCAAGAGCTGAATTAATTCCAGTTGCACAACCCTATGGAAGAATAATTAGCAAGCTGGAGATGTCAACACATGGTTTCTCCTCCCTCGATGCCTTTTGGTTCATCAGTTCCTTCAGTCTTTGCAAGTACATTGTCTGCTTTGGAGTTTCACCCCACTTCTTTTAATGTCACCTGCCTTACGCTAGCAGCGTTGACATAGCACCTGCCTGACACTGAAGACATCACATCTCCATGAGGTAATAGCCCTAAATAACCCCAAGTATCTACTGTTCAAGATTGGAACAATACATGTACTACAGATTATACAATGAGCTACAATGTGTATTTTCCTTTGGCTGGACAGGCTTGCTCAGGAGCTGGTAACGTAAGGATAGGTGAAGTGTTTTTTGGGGGAGCGCTGGCACGTGACGTGAAATCTTCCGCAGAACCCCACATGCCCTAGGGTTCAAGAAAGCTAAAACACACACACACAAAGAAACCTCTCCTGCAATCACTGTACTGTTCAGAGTACAGCATTAAAAGACAAATTTTTTTTTTTTTTTTAAATCTAGTACCTTCAGAAAAAGTTGGTCAACTATTACACATGAGAATTTTAGTTTGAGGTGAAGATCTCAATTTTTCCCCCAGAGGAACAGTTTATATAAACAACTCAGTAATTAAGAATTCCCACTCTTTCATTTCTCAGTATGTTAGTGCCAAAACTAAGCAACATTCCAATTATACAGTCCGATATTCAAATCAAAGTATGACTGACTTTTCAAAGGAAGAATGGATTGAAAGCAGACAGCAAGTTAATTTATATAGGCATATGCTATAAAGATGAGTGCACTGACTAATTATAATGTTTAGAAAAGATTTTCATTAAGGACAGTTTGAGTACACCTACTAAGCAAAGAACACACCCCAGGCAAGAGTTCAAATCCACAGCAAAAAGATGTGTTCCTGTTGTAGAATATAAGAACTTTAAAAAAAAAACCAACAAAACAAAACACACCATGTTTTACTAAACGCTTAAAGGTTTTCTGAATGAATGGAAAGCAGGCTTTTTCAGAGACTTATACTCGGAAGTAATAAGAAAAGTTATTATGGTGAAGTAACATCTTCCATTTGTCTCTGGCTCCTTCTTCTCCCGCTCAGAGCCTGTCTTGCTCTAGGACATTACAGAACAAAGTCTGGGGAGACTTGCTAACTAGCCTTCA